TAGAGATACGCAAAAATGTTATAGAACAAAAAGGATTTGTTTTGACTTTTTGCATCTAGTCATGTATTGTTTATACAGGTCAGGTCACTTGGGGTCATTGACCTCAGTGACCTGTGACCTTTAAGAGCAGTTTACTGAATATTTGGCACATAGTTAGGAAGAACTATTTTATGGAATGGTTTTAATAAGCTCATTTTCCACAAATTATTTTTTGAGGTCACAGGTCACCGAGGTCAATGACCCCAAGTGACCTGACCTGTATAAACAATACATGACTAGATGCAAAAAGTCAAAACAAATCCTTTTTGTTCTATAACATTTTTGCGTATCTCTAACAGAAAATGAGTTATCGCTGTTTGAAAATTACTTTCTATTGCGGAAAAGCGATTTTTCACTGTTTTTTAATATTCATTTAAAATTAATTAAAAAACTAAAAATAATGCCATTCTGGAAATCAAGGATGTTGTTCTACACACTTGGGGCTACATTTTTTCCTATACTGCGAAAAATTTCTGAGGGGTGCTTCTTTGCGAAAATTGCGTCATAACGTGAAATTTGCAATTTAGTGACCTTGACCTTTGACCTACGCAAAAGTTGTCAACAGAAAAGTTGTCGGGCGTAAAAAGTTACGTCTGGAAGTGAAAAGATCATTAATAATTTCTCAATAGGAGCAAAGATATTCCATATTTTTTGTTTTTGGAAAAATCTGATTTCCCGGAAAAGCACCCCTTATTTTGACTTGAAAATTTGGTGAGCGAGGCCTCATGACCACCCCAACAACATACTTAAAATTTGGAATGGCATGTTTTCAAGAAAAATTTTTAACATTTACCCTCAAATCTATCCTGGACGCACCCTTGTATTAAATATTATTTACATAAAAATTTGAATTTTTTCAAATTTATAACAAAAATTAGCAATTTAAGTCACGAATGTTAAAAAAAGTGGGACGAATCACCAAAATTAGGTACAGTTACAGAAGGAACTCCTTATCAAAAGAAAATAAATTGTTTGAATTAATTTTTCTTTTTCATTTTGACATTATGTATATAATAATTATCAAATTGCTTGAAAAACATTAATTTATTAATTTAAAAAAAAATATTAATTTCAAAGTTATTGTTTTAAAAAATAATTTTCAAAGTTGTTAGTGCATTTCATCTTACATTTGTTCACAGTAATAAAACTGATCTCTTTTAATTTCATTGAAATATGTATTTCAATGCATGATAGTAAACTTGCCAGTAAATAACGATTAAGTTCCCTGAAGATAATAATAAATAATTTTTTTTAACCATTTACTTATTAATTGTAAATCAAGGAAACGATTGAAATCAAAACCATATTAAAATAAACAAGCAAATTAAATAATTAAAAAGAAAAATGTAAGCAACATGATGTGTCCGATATTAGTTTACTTTTAAATGATTCATACAATGCCGCCAAATGTGACAAACTGTGATTGATTGCAAAACGTGATTTCATGGGTGTTTTGTAAATACGCAACTTTGTGAGTTGTAAAATATTTACAAGAAACGGAATTGCGCCGGCTGAACTAAAACAACGGTAAGGTGCGCGCTAACGAGGAGACGCTCCAACGACACGTCGGCAAAAATAAATAGTTCCTCAAGTAATCATCGCCTGAGCACATTACGCATGGGTGATTTAAGACTGCGCACCGACGCAAACTTCGCTCGTATTTTCATTAGCCTGAGTAGTCTTGCAGCCTCAGGAGCGAACCAGAGAGTTTGAATAGTTGAGCGCGACTGTGTGGACACTTGGAGGCGTCGCTCGATTAATCATGCCCGCGAGCAGGAGAGGAAAAAGAGCTCAAACAAAACGGGTCAACTTTCGTCAAATTTGGGCGCCCGATGGAAAAAAATCTCTGCGGCAATAATCGAGCTGAAATTAAAGTTTGAGTGAGTCGCTGTCAAATTTTTTGGCATAAAAATGATCCTCTCTGCTTTTACAAAAAGATGATTTTTATTCCTCTTCTTTTATATATTTCGCCCGCTTGACTTAAAGTGCTAAAACACGGTGGCTTGTCACTTTCAGGAGCAGCGAGGAAAAAATTCTTTCTTCTTTCTGGCAGCGCATTCAGCAGCTCCGTTTTAGAGGAAAAGTGGCGTGGTTGATTTGCATTTATCTGGAGGCGCTTTGACAAGCTTTTAGCGTGGCGGGCTGGAAAAGCCAAGCGAGCAAAAATATGATTACCTTGTGTTGTGACAACATTTACCTGTGCGCGCGCCAGCATGTGTGTTTGAGCAACGCACTCTGCCTCTGTCGTTTGCTCGAGAAAACGTTTGCAGGCAGGCGAAATTAGCCTTTGCTTTGACACACGAAAATTTAGCTAGCTTTCGAGCGACAAAAGACGATGGCAGGGTCGACAACGACGAATACATAATTGGAATCACGGTTCAGACTATATAATATTTGACATTAAAACTAACAATACCTTCTGTAGAATCTTTTACAATAAACACTTAATTTTTTTTTAAAAAATAGCTTTATTTATACTAGAAAACCATAAAAATTAATTTTTTTTATTTATTTATTATATTTTATTTTATTAAATTTAAATATTAACAGAATTGAAATTTTTTTTATTTACTTTCTTAATTTTTAACAATTTTAATTATACACAATAATTATTATTTATATATGTCACACCAACAAAATATAAATTAATACTCATGATCAATGAATTGTTTGAGCGCAGTTACCATCAAGATTTATTACTAGATTCATGGTCAAGCATTATAATATATTTATAAAATATTATATATTTATAAAAAAACAAATAGCTAGAACTAACAAGTAAAATGATGATTGGTGATGATTTTATTACTTTTTACAATAATGTAGATATGGAGAGATTGCATGATTCTCAATAGAAGTAAAAAAATTGGTTCTATATTAAAAAACATAAACTAAACGCAATTTCAATCACTGCTTCTTAAAATTAATGTAAACTTAATTTGAAATAATTTGCTTCAAACAATATCAAAGCATACCATTTTTCTGCAGGCTTTTCTTTAAATGCAACAGCACATGTACAGCCACCATCTCTCCAGAATAATAATGAAAAAGCGGTAACTTTTCAGGCTATGGAGGTTCACTTAATTTCAACCCTAATAAAACAATTCAGGGTCCCCTTATTTTTAAATTTTATTTCATTTAGAGAAAGGTAAAATTATTGCAAACGATTTATTTATTTCGTTTCAAAAAATTAGAAGCAGCTTCGCTTCCCCTTTTTTCCTTGCTGACTGGCCAACCCATAAATAGAGGAAGATAGTTGGCAGATGGAGAATTTCGTGTGCGGATGAGCACACTCGGCAAATTGGTGATGTCAATCCCAAGACGCTGCTGCGAACACGCCAAAAATGTTGGTGCCTCTCGCGCTAAAAGGTCCGGACTCAATTACGCGCGGATGCTTTTAGCCGGCCGAAATAATGCCAAATGCGTTGCACACGCCAAAAGATATTGTTTTGCTCGACGCGATTGGCGAACATCTTTTGCTGTCATGAAATATTGCGTTATGTGCGATCGTCGCCTGCAATTTGCTGAGTACGCAGGTTCCGCGTGTTGCCAATGTCGCCTACATCCGTTTGTTCTCATTCCGCATCCGCAAATGTTGTTGTCGTTAATCACGGCGCCGATCTCGGCTCTGGCGGCCTCCTTTAATCCTTCCTTAACATAATTCGGCTCGGATGTTTGTCGGCACGCTGCTTTTTGTGCTGACCCGATTTTGGCAGCAAAGAAAGCGCGATCAAATAAATCTGCTCGCCTCTCTTGGTAGAACATGTTTTTTTTTTCTTTTTATTCAAGCTTTTTTTAAAATTCAAAAAATAAAAAATAAATGGAGCTCAGATGGAACTATTAAAATTTTAAATTCTGGACACTTGCTTACTTCATAAATTATGTGATAACTAAATTCAAAATAATTCATTCAAGCAATGCTAAACTTGCGAAAAAATGTATTTTCACTATTGATTGAAAATGAGCTAAATATTTAAAATCATATGCATACATAGCATCGCATTAGGTTAAAATAATCAATTTGGAATGTGCTAGGTTAGATTCATTTTTCAGTGTCAAATCTAGGGCCAAGGATTTTTCCAACTATGAAAGAACTGGAAAGAACTTTAAAAATTGATTACCAAAATTGAGGAAAATAGTTTTATCTTCTAATAATTATTTAAAGTTAACAAACAAAAAATTACAGGCCGGTCCCTTCATAAATGGTTAAAATGAGTTGAAATCCATAAAAAATATGGTTTACAGCCTATAGAAAGTTAACAAAATTCTCTTTAAACCTAACAAGTAAAAGTGAAACCTAAATATTGAATGTAAAGTTGCTAATTTCTTAAAAAGGTATTAAATTTTGTCCAAATTTAAGCATAAAAGTCTGCAAAAGAGGCACCATTAAATTGCAATGAGGGATATTCACAGTCTAAGTTAGCACCAGTAATTTCCTAAAAGCTAACTTTGTAAGTGAATATCGCCAAATATTCATTCAATAAAAATTCCTTTCGTGAGATTGAAAATATGATTCAAATAAGTTATTTGACATTAAAAAAAAAATCTTGTCGATTTAATATAAATATGCCCCTTAACAAAATGTAATTACTCCAAATTCAATAATTTACCTGTCTTCAAATGAAAATAAGAAGTTTAAAATACATCTCTCTATATTTTTAAATAAGTGAGGCATCATCTAATTGAATCGTAAACAGCATGGTTATTTTCACGCTAAACTGACTAAAACGAGGAAACTTTTCAATTTTGCATCCGGCAGCGCAAAGTATACACTTTTTATCTAACAAGCTCCACTCAAGTGAGGAAAAGTTGGAAAATATAACTAACCCGGCACTCTCTTTTTTTATCAAGGGCTTTCCGCCTGACGAGTCTCGCTCGCTTGCTCGCTCGCCGAGAGATGACGAGCGCGCGATTATGTGCATGAAATGTAAACTTTTAATTGGACTTGATTGTGCCCACAGAGCGACTGTTCGGCAAGGCGTGGCGCGAGGAGTGGGTCGTCTTGTACGAGGACAGCACCCTGGCGTGGTTCAAGGAGAAGGACCGCGGCGAGCCCGAAGGCACCGTCCTTGTCAAGGAGGCGCCTGAACTGCTCGCCGTCAGCCACTGGACCCTGCGCATCCCGGTCAGACCCGACCTGCCAGGTCACTGCCACGTCACGCAGGTCATGGCCTTTGGCACCCGCAGGCGGGACAAAGTCTACTGGTTTTTGGCGCAGTCGGAGGATGAAGTCAAGTAAGTCACTTTTTGTGTAAAACCTTTTTGATATACGTATGGAAGAAAATTAGACCAGATAACAAGATTCGCTGTAATTAATGTTTATTTTTACTTAAAAAATTAACAACAAAATTTAATGTAATGTTATAAATTGTAAATTTTTAAATCATAATTTTATATAGAATTTTAAAATATTTAACATATTAATAGCAAATAAGCTAATATTTAAACATATATTGTAATTTTCAATATTGAATTTTGTTAAGTGTTAAAAAACTATTTGTTTTATAAACGGATTTTTCCAATTTCACTGAAACTTAAAAGATTTCAAATTATAAATCCAAATATAAATAATGCTGCGTACTTCAATTAATTATGGTTCTGTAAAGTGAGATATATTTTGGGTACCTTGTTCGTTATTTTCATTAAATTTCTTATTGGGGTATTATTGTAGTGAATAATAATAGTTTTGAATATAAATAAAAAATTAATCTATTTTTAATTGCTCAAGTGATTATCATAGGTAGAGCCAGAATGAAGAAGGAATTAACATATTATAGAAAATTCAGCTAATCAAAATTTAACTCTGATTTAATCTCTGGCTTCGATCATTTTTTTTTTTTAATTAATTAAATGCTCACTTATTATTTTCAATTGAATCATTGCTGTTTATGCTGAATAATAAACTTGATTTGATAAATCATAAAATTTTTCAAATTCCTTAACATTCAGATTAATTTGGAAATGTAAATTAAAATAAATTGTGCCCTTTATCATTCTAGTTTCAAACAGACAAAGACGATCATCTAGTTTTTTCCCAGCCTATAATCCACACATTTCTTCATCTTTTTCATAACTTCTTTTTTCTCCCAAAATTAAAATTTTATTTCAATTAGATGTTCTTCTCTAGTTTAATTATAACTAGAATTATAATCAACTATTTCCAATATCATCCTCATCAACCCCTGCGTAGCATTGAAGACCATCCTAATCCCCTTCTTCCCCCTTTGAAAGTTATGATGTTGACCCTGGCAGACAATTTCACGCGAGACCCGCAGTCTAACAATTTTCTTGGGCTCTGTTGCAGTGACTGGATGACGGCCATCAGCAACACGGTAAGAATCCATTTGCCATTTGGTGGGATTTGGCGCAATTGCCGCCGACGGCGAGATGGGTAATCGGCTTAGGGGCGCCGCCCCGCGCGTTCATTAGCCCCGCATTGTGTCTGCGACGAGATAGAGAGAGAGAGAGGATAGTGGGGTGCACTCGCGGAAAATAGGCCACCTCCGTTACACTAATACATACAACATTCTCTCCCGTGAGCAGTGTCGTAATTTTTACCTTAATTGCTTCGCGCCCAAGAGAGGAAAACGCTCTGCCAACTTGATTTCCAGCTTACTTACCAGGGGAACATCGCCTATCCTCAACAACCGATTTTAGTCTTACTATTAATCAGTAGTGAATAGCCAGAAAATAGGATAAAAAGATCACCCTCTTAGTTAGGGGTTAAAATCCCAATTCCAATAATTTCAAATTTTTTTTTTTTTAATAATTTAAGTAATTGCTTGACAATTTTGATTCTTCTTTATCATTAAAAACATGTTAATTAAGAAAATTATGTTTTGCCACTATTAAGATCAAAATTTCCTGATTGAAATGCAACAAAAAGATCTCAAAGTTTATGGATTTTTACTAATTTTAGGTAAAAAAGATTTTGGTGAAATTCAACTTGGATAAAACTGCAATAATTTTAAAGGTGTGCAGTTAATGGTAATGGTCACATTTTCACTATAACTTTAAAAACATGCGTTACTTAATTATTATTCCCACAAACGATTTTATGTCATTCTTGTCTTCATATGCTTTCATTAATTGAGACATTTTAGAGCTTTGACGAGTACCATGTAATTAAAATGGTGGTAGGAAAAATTGCAATCTTTCCTCATTCGGATCACTTCGTCCCCCTATTTATTTTTCCTTATTCGACCAATATTGGTAACTGAAGATTGCCAGTGTTCTCCTCTTGATGGTACATGGACGCCGATAGAAGATTATAACCGATTGTAAATCGGAATTTTCACAAATGGAAATAATGCCTTCTGTTTTCGTACATATAAATGAGCGAGCTCGACGCTTTGTGCACATTTTCCGTTATACCTGTGGGGCGTTCAAAATTTTTATATATACGAGAAGTATAAAAAATGCGACAGGTTGAGTAAAAATGACGAGAGGAGGATGAAAAAATTTTGTCCGTATGAAAAAACCAAATGATGATACGGTGCCAATAATTGTGTTTTCCCTCGAGCCGACAAAAATCGCAAACAAAAATAATGGAGTGAGAGCGAAATTTTGAGCAAACATATCGAGCGGCTGCTCGCACAGATAATTTTGAATCGGGTTGGAAAGTGGACGCGCGCGTCAATCAAATTACATCCGTTCCAAATCCAATTTGCAGATGATAATGGGTTGGAGGCAGCGCAGCATCCCGACGGCGACGTGCAATCAATTTGCGCTTTGATGTGATCTTGATCTGAATTTGTCACGTCCAGCAGCGTTATTGGTGATGGCCAAACACACAACTAGAGGTAGAACTAGCGCCGGGGTCTAATATGGATCGCAGCAGGTGCGGCGCCGCCACCTGAATTAAACCGAGCAGAATTCATCGCGTACAACAATTTATGGCCCTCGGGCCCCTTATGTATATGTATGCACGCTTGGATATATATCTAGTAATTCTCTGCGGCTGAAGGAACACTTGCGAGGCGATTCGCTAAATATGCACACGCACTTGGGGCGCTTGTGCAAATCTTTGAGATCGGCAAACTGCTCGCGCGCGCGGAGCTTGAGTAATTTATGAAGCGGCAAACTTTTGTTTCTGAATGAAAATTAATGTTAATGAGGCGCAAACTTTGGCCGTTAATTTCCAAAGAGACCGCGAAATTTACCTCTTCTACTTTGGTTTTAATTAAGCTCGCGTTTTAATTTCCCAGTTCATCATGTTTTCATTTTAGTTCAAAGTTTAAGCTCGGCTTAAAGTTTAACTAATATTAATTTAACACAGTTTGTTTAATTTTCCATAAGAGATGTCAAACCTTTTAGTTTTCCAATTAATTTTGTTTAACAAAAAAAACTATAAATTGCCCTGCAAATTAACTTTAAAGAAGTAAAACTCTATTTAAATTATGAACAAAGTTGGCACCCCTGAAGTATTTACTCTCAACTAAACAGGCAATTTAGGAATGGGGTGGTACATCTCGGTATTCTTGGTGGGCTAATCAGAATTTTTAAAAAGGGGAAAATATAATTTTGAATTCTGTGAGAAGATAATTGAATAAAAATTAATATAATATTTTGATAATAATTTTTCTTTTGGGCTGCATTTAGAATCTTACCTGATCTTGCCCATGATTAAATATTCTCCTTTTTTTAAGATAAAATTTTTAAAATTAAAACACCATAATGATTTTTTTTCCAAAATTTTATGAATGTATTTTACTGCACATCTTGAAGTTATTTCCACCTTATATAAGGAAGTGTTGAAATCCACATTAAATTTAAATTTATAGAGTAAGATGCACTGTGGCGCATCATATAATTTTTTTAAACCAACTTCAAAAATTGGAGCTTTCCTTCTGGCATGAAAAAAGCCATTAAGACTCGCCATTTTTCTTCAGAGATTCGCGAACCTAATCTACAAGAGATAAAAGTGGCCGTAAAAACAGCCCCTGGCCTCCCTGTTTTCGATTTAATGCGTTCTTCCAGCATAAAGCTGTGGCCAAGAGTTCGTGCGGAGAGGCTAAAGTGCTTCATTTCGTGTATCATTACGTAGTGGTGTCATTCGAGAGCGGCGTTGGGGTGCTCGAGGTCGAGTGGACCGCTCCTCGCAAATGTTCCTGGACGGCCGCTCTGAAATTGCTAATCAGGACCTGTCATTGTGATGCTCGTAATCCATTTATGCCCGCGCGCACGGTGCATGTGTTTTGATCCATTGGGCCCGCCAGCGTTACAACACAACAATAGTGACGCTCGTAGTTGGCCCGAATCAGGTTAATCATATGCACAACAGGCCCGTTGCATTAGCGTCAAGTTTCGCAACGGAATTTGGCACCTTTTTTAACTTCATGTATATTTGGTCACTTTAATGAGATTGAAGGAAGAAAATAAAATTTTGGGTTTTAATTGAAGCCAGATTTAAGCAATATAAATCAAAGTTTCATTTTTTTTTACAAAACTAATGAATTTACTCCCTTAACTTGATTTTCTTTAAAAATTTACAACAAAAAAATTTAATAATATTTGCCAGTTTTTAAGACAATTTATTTTAAAAGCCTTATCTTCACTTTACACGCCTTGTTGTATTATTCATGTTTATCAATCATACCTTATTTTTATTTCTCCAAAGAGCACTTGGGTCGTAGTCAGTTGTATTTCGTTGCACTTGTACTTTGTATTCACTTGTACTTAAGGCGGGGCGGACGTCCATATTTGAGGATGAGTTTTGTGCAGAAGGAAGGGCTTAATTCTTGATTCTGAGCGACTTGGGGAGCTAATGAATATGCAAAAATTGTTGCACTTCTACTTGGTTGCAGTTGTATTTTGGGTATAGCAAAACGTTGCAGTTGTACTTTAAACAAATTAAAGGTGTATTTTTTCTATGGTCGCAGTTGTACTTTTATAATTTTAAGGTGTTGCATTTGTATTTTTGCTATGGTTGCACTTGTACAGGGGTTTTAAAAGGTTGCAGTTAGTTGTATTTCAGGGCATTGAAAATGTCCTATTTGACGTCCCACTTGTACTGCCGTCCCATTTGTACGGCATGGCAATGTTGCAACGCAGGGGAGCAAGGATAATATGTAGGAAAGGTGCGCATAGGTGCTTGAGAGTTGCCGCCAAAGGAGAATATGAATTTAGCTGATGCAAAAAAGGAATCACTTTGCATTCATATTATTGAATTTCATTTTTCTGATGGGAATTTGAAATTTAAAAAAAAAAATAGATATTTTCAATTTAAAATTAGTATCATAATTTGTTTACTGTCAATTTGTGAAAACAGTTTGTTTTTACTTTTAATTAAATTGTTAGTTATCAGCAGTTATCAGTATGTAAGAAATTGTCTTCAAAGGAGCGTCTATTTCACTAGAAAATAAAATATATATACTTTTCGAATATTTTGTCAAAAACAGGAAGAATGGAAATAGGTCTGTAGTTTTCAAACTTGTCGTGGGCAGAGTCTTTGTAAATTGGGCGATGCAGATTAGATGCACAAGTGCACTACCTCCACTCAGAACATCACGGACGGAGATTTTATCAACTCCGGGGCCTTGTGTGAGAAGTTTGTTGAAGTTTATTAAGAATTAAATTAGTATGGTCTGCACTGGCCGAGCGCAGGCCGAGCGCAGGCCGAGCGCAGGGCGAGCAATTTTCAATTTAAAATTAGTATCATAATTTGTTTACTGTCAATTTGTGAAAACAGTTTGTTTTTACTTTTAATTAAATTGCGCAGGCCGAGCGCAGGCCGAGCAATTTTCAATTTAAAATTAGTATCATAATTTGTTTACTGTCAATTTGTGAAAACAGTTTGTGTTTACTTTTAATCAAATTGCGCAGGCCGAGCGCTGGCCGAGCGCAGGCCGAGCGCAGGCCGAGCGCAGGCCGAGCGCAGGCCGAGCGCAGGCCGAGCGCAGGCCGAGCGCAGGCCGAGCGCAGGCCGAGCGCAGGCCGTGCGCAGGCCGAGCGCAGGCCGAGCGCAGGGTGAGCAATTTTCAATTTAAAATTAGTATCATAATTTGTTTACTGTCAATTTGTGAAAACAGTTTGTTTTTACTTTTAATTAAATTGTTAGTTATCAGCAGTTATCAGTATGTAAGAAATTGTCTTCAAAGGAGCGTCTATTTCACTAGAAAATAAAATATATATACTTTTCGAATATTTTGTCAAAAACAGGAAGAATGGAAATAGGTCTGTAGTTTTCAAACTTGTCGTGGGCAGAGTCTTTGTAAATTGGGCGATGCAGATTAGATGCACAAGTGCACTACCTCCACTCAGAACATCACGGACGGAGATTTTATCAACTCCGGGGCCTTGTGTGAGAAGTTTGTTGAAGTTTATTAAGAAT